TTAGCCTTCTTTCTATTGTTTGTAGGCATTGGGACAGGTGAGGCATTCACCGGAACTTATGGCATAAATTACGGTAGAATAGCTGATAATATTCCTCCACCTGAAATAGTGGTCTCTCTTCTTAAAGCAGTAAAGATCAAGAATGTTAAGATCTACGATTCCGATCATGGCGTGCTTAGGGCATTTAAGGGATCCGGGCTTGAGTTAGTTGTGGGACTCAGCAATGACTATGTCAAAGAAGTAAATTCCAGTGAAGACCGAGCCATGGAATGGGTTAAGGAAAATGTTCACTCATGGTTACCTGATACACATATCAGAGGAATAGCAGTTGGTAATGAAGTTCTCGGAGGGGCAGACCAGGACCTCGAAGCAGCATTGTTTGGTGCAATAAAGAACGTTTATAAGGCTTTATCGCGGCTTAAACTGACTGATCTTATTAAAATCTCGTCACCGCACTCACAGGCTGTTTTCGCTAACTCATATCCTCCATCAAATTGCACATTTAAAAGCAGTATTTTTCAGTATATGAAGCCCATCTTGGACTTCTTTTCAGAGATTGATTCTCCTTTTTCGCTCAATATATATCCATTTATAGCATACAAAGGTGATCCTCAGCATATTGACCTAAATTATGCTTTATTACAGCCAAATCATGGAATAGATGACCCTATCTCTAATCTGCATTATGACAACATGTTTGATGCTGAGATAGATGCAGCTTATGCTGCTTTGGAAGCTGCAGGGTATGGTAAAATGGAGGTTGAGATTACTGAGACAGGATGGGCTTCTGGTGGTGATGAAGATGAAACTGGAGCTTCGCCTCAAAACGCTCAGACATACAATTATAATCTACGCAAAAGGCTTTTCAAGAGAAAAGGAACACCGCGAAGACCCAAAATTGTTATAAAAGCATATATATTTGCCTTGTTTAATGAGGATTCGAAGCCAGGGCCAGGTTCTGAGAGGCATTATGGACTATTTAAGGCTGATGGGAGTATTTCGTATGATATTGGGCTTTCTGGTGTTTCTTCGTGGCATGCATCGTCCTCATTTTATGCTCTAAAGGTACGTACAATGTTCTATCTTTCTTTGAAGTCTTTACTTCTAATTTTAGATAGAATAAAACTATGTCGTTAGGATTGAAATTAATATCTTTTGCATATTTAGAGATTAAATTAGATATTATGATATATCCACTGATTTTCTGAGTAGGAGATGTGGAATCACCACGGCTTTGAATGTTAATTCTGATAGAAGATGGGAAATCAAATTACCTGTTTATAATTTCAATTATGTTTTTTTTTATTCAAATTGCTTATGAGAATTTTATATTTAAAATATGAACTTGATGGTTATTTGGAATCCCATTGAGATGTGTGTCAGTCATGTCCACTTACGTAGAGATGATTTGTTTATAAATTGATATTATGGGGCATGGAAA